CTTTTTCACCTCAGTCTTCACAGGCAAGGTCAGCTCCCAGACTATTGCACCTGGTAGCACATTTTGGGGAGAAGGTGAGCAGCCAATGGTGGCAAAAGAATAGGTTAGGGACTATTTAGAAAAGCTGGACATGTACAGGTACATGGGCATGGACATGAAGCACCCAAGGGTGCGGAAGGATTTAGTTGTGATTGCACAGCCACTGGCCATTACCTTTACAAACTCATGGTAATTGGAAAAGGTCATAGATGACTGGAAAAGGGCAAATATAGTGCTCATCTTTAAAAAAGGGGAAGAAGGAGGATCCAGAGAACTACAGACCAGTCAGCCTCACCTCAGTTCCTGGAAAGATCATATTCTTTGAGCAAGTCCTCAAAGAATTCATTTCTAAGCACATGGAAGAGGAGGAGATAAGGAAAAAAAAAAATCAGCATGAATTCAGCAAGGGCAATGACCAACCTGCTTGCCTTCTATGAAGAGATGACTGCATCTGTGGATGCAGGAACAGCAGTAGATGTGATATATCTTGACTTTAGCAAGGAAGCATGGGTTGGATGAATGGAGTTTAAGGTGGATAGAAAACTGGATGGATTGTTGGGCTCAAAGTCTAGTAAATCAATAACTCAATGCCTAGTTGACAGCCAGTGTCAAATGGAATGCCCCAGCGCCAGGCTTTGTTCAGTATCTTCATCAGTGATCTGGAAGACGGGATAGAATGCACCCTTGCAGCAGTGACAGCCTGTCTGGAGTTGGCACAGAGCCAAGATCCCCTGCATGCGTGCCCCTGCCCAAAGTGTGCAGGCTACAGATCATGGCTTCAGAGCAAGCTGGCCCTGTCTCACATTCCCAGCAGCTCCAAAGCAGCCCCCTGCGCTGCTCTGCCATGTGTGCTGCTGAGGTCTCCATGGAGACTGGCACAAGTCACGTGGACAGACGCAGCTGGGAAATGGTGTCCCCAGCCAACTGGATCCAGCCCGCGGGCCAGACATTCCCCATCCCTGAGCTAGACTGTTCAGTGGTAGCAGATGACGGAATGAGGAACAATGGTCTCAAGTGGCAACAAGGTAAGTTTAGGTTAGATATTAGGAAAAACTCTCTCAGTATGAGGGTAAGTAAAGCACTGGATCAGGTTACCCAGAGAGATGGTGGAATCTCCATCCTTGGAGGATTTTAAGACCCAGTTAGACAAAGCCTTGGCTGGGATGATGCATTTGCAGATGGTCCTGTTTTGAGCAAGGGGTTAGACTAGATGACCTCCTGAGGTTGCTTCCAACCCTAATTTTCTATGATTCTATACAATACATCGTCTCTCTTTGTTAATCTGACTTTCAGAAATCAGTTGCCAAACAATTCTTCTCACTAGCCGCATCAATTTTTAAAGGTTTCCTTTTTGGGCTCCTTAACAAGGGAAGGGGTCTTTGGTGAATCACAAAACAAAGACAAATTGATCTAGTCTCTTGGTTACGTTACCTTCTAGGTCCATGAGTTATTATACCTATTCTGTGATACTGAAGTTAGGACAAAAGTTATGGACTCAAAGAGAAAAAACCCCCAAACGTGCTAAACAGTGTACAAAGGTACATTTTTGCCCTGAAAAGCCTATCACACAAGAGCAGATCTATAAGCCAAACTGCAGTAATCCTGTAATGTTATTCAGAAGAGCACCAGGCACCTGCAGTTAAATAGTTTCCAGTTCCTGGAGTTAGCCTGGATCTCTCTACAGTAGGGGTGTCAAATTCATTTAGCTCCATAGGCCAGATGAGTAGCATGGGGCCAGTCAATGGGCTGTATCAGGCCCACAGACCAACACCTCATACCAGATCCAGCACACATCCCAGAGCACCAGATTAGGTACCATGTGCAGCATGGCCCTAGAGTAGGCATCAAATGTGGTGCAGTCCTGAACCAGCAGGTTCCACCACCATGCTGTGTGCAGCTCCTGCTCTAGCCACTCTGGTACTGTTCCACATGAGGGGCCTGTTCCAGCGCACATCCATTCCACGTTGGATCCAGCACAAGTCCTGGAGTGGACATCGCATAGCATGTTCTATGCACCTAAAGCAGGATGGGCAGACAGCCGAGCAAGGAGAAACAACCAACTGAAACTAGCAGCAAAATAACAGCAGTTAAAGTCAGATGTATGTGGCAGCTGAAAGCAAACACAAGCAGGTTTAACCTGATAAAGGAGAAGGTAAAGAACACTATATTCAGAGCAATGGGTAGGGAAGATTGTGTCAACAGCTGTAATTTGTACAGCCCAGAGAATGACAATATAGGAAGGTCAGCTGGCTACAGGAACACAGTGGAGAATATTAAGGTCTGGATGAGAATTTTAGCTGTAGTGATCTTTTTCAACCTGAAGATTGAGGTAGCTTGGACTTGGGATACAAGAGAGAAAGAGAAGTAACTCCCCAAATTACAGGTCCGACAAAGAAGGTTAATGTAATGGCAAAGGGGGTAGGATAAATCAAAACCAGATAGGGAACAAACCAAGTGGGGACAAAAGTTTGCAAGCCATGGGTATACAGAAAACAAGTGAAGCTGCATGAGTGAACTGAAAATCTTTCATCACTTCAGTGGACTTCTGCATTTAGACCTCTGCTTAAAGCTCCCAATGACTCTTCCCATCAGTTTCAACTGGTAAAACAGTAGGAAATGATAATAAAAATATCCTTGCGCAACAATATTTTTAATTAAGCTTCGGACAACTATAGGTGGAATCTGCTCCAGCCGTTAGCTACCAGGGTTAACTCTGAGAGGTGTTCTGGGAACGAAGGAAGGTTTGGGGGATGGGGGGGTATTCCACCAAAACCAAGTAATCAAGTTTAAGTAAATTAATAGCAAACTTAATACTGAAATACACATGGTATATGATAAGAAGGCAATACGGCTAATGCAAAGCCAACCAAATAAATAAATAATAATCTTACATATTTGAAAAAAAGATTAATCTTAAATTTACTAAGTCTTGAAGTCTTAAAAACTTCTAACAAGTGGCCAAACTGCTAGGAAAAATAATTTTTAAGCCTAGGTAAGAAGTCAACTAATTTGCAGATGGGTCATGTAACAAGAACTGTAGTTCAAGGCCGAAGAGCAAAGACATCAGTGAACCTCAACTTCTATACTGAATTACCTGACCCAACTCCAAAAGCTCATTAATAGGGACCTACAAAATGCACGATGTCACAGAAATTGTGTAATTTGGCAGTCCCCTGTGAAATAGCTGATTCCCCATGAAAAAGTGCAAGGAACTGGCTATGTCCAAAAAGCCAGCAAAGAGCCGGCAAAAAGCTGTCTCCTAGAATGCCAGGGGGAGGGGGAAGGGAAAAGAAAGAAAAAAACGCAGTCTCCTGAAGAGGGGGCAGGAGGCAGGAAAAGTTCCCTTCTCTGTCTCCAGAAGGGGGTGGAGGGGGGAGGGGCAGGGAAAAGCCTGCCAAAAAGTCCTCTTCTAAATGGGCTGGGGATGTTGGGGGGGTAGAAGACTAGTCCTTCAGGTATTTGAGAGCTGCTATTAAATCCCCTCTCCATCTTCTCTTCTCCAGACTAAATAAGACCAGCTCAGCCTTTCCCAAGTCATGTGCCCCAGCTCCCAAACCATTTTTGTTGCCCTACACTGGACTCTCTCCAATTTGACCATATCCTTTTTGTAATGGGGGGCCCAAAAGTGAAAACAGTACTCTAGATGTGGCCTCACCAGTGCTGAATAGAGGGGAAAAAAATCACTTCCCTTGATGTGCTAGCAACACTCCTACCAACGCAGCCCAGGATGTCGTTAGCCTTCTTGGCAACAATGACACATGGTTGGCTCATATTTAGCCCATTCAGCCCTAAGTGCAGGACTTTGTACTTGTCCTTGCTGGACCTCAGGAGATTTATTTTGGCCCAATCCTCCAAAGCGTTTAGGTCCCCCTGAATCCTAGCCCTACCCTCCAGTGTATTTACTACTCCCCGCAGCATGGTGTCATCTGAAAACTTGCTGAGGGTGCACTCTATGCCATCTTCCAGGTCATTGATGAAGACACTGAACAGCACCGGCCCCAGGACCGACCCCTGGGGCACTCCACTTGATACTGGCTGCCAACTAAGACATTGAGGCATTGATTACTACCCCTCTAACCTCAATGCTCCAGCCAGTTTTCTATCCACCTTACAGTCCATTCATCCAGCCTGTACTTCCTTAGCTTGCCTGCAAAAATGTTGTGGGAGACCATACAAAAAACCTTGCTAAAGTTAGGAAAGGTAAAAAGTGTGGGGAAAATAGTCTACATGTTTAAGGGTACAGTAGGGAGTCCACTTAATTTATATCATCCCTCCAAAGCAGTTAAGTACTCCACCATGAGATTCTACTATACATTTTCACAGCTTCACTACACAATTAAAGGTAAATGCAGCTTCTGTGGCTTCTTTAGGATTCTTCCACTCCTAGAAGTGGGGAGTGTCTGTATATACTGGGCAAGTAGTTCACTTCAGTTCTAGATTCTCTCTGGGCATTTGGTTAACCATAAGTCTGACCCTAACCACAAGGCTTAGAATTTGGGAAGAAATTTTACAGGCCAAACAAAAGAGTAACCTCACCCCAAATTTGTCAGTCAAAATGGGGAACATTACTGGATGAAAAGGTTGTTGTCATACTAATGAACTCAAACCTTACATGTATAACAATAGTGTTATAAAGTAAGCATTTGATCTCTTGGGTCTTTGGGGTTTTTTCTTTTTTTTCCCCCCATTATATTTTAGTAAAGTTTACATGTAAAGTATTTCAAAGCACATCTGCATTGAAACAGTATTTCCAGAAACCTAGAATAAAAGGCTGAATGTCTAATTAGCTAGAGCATCAGCCACCTTAATGTTTGAACCAGAAAGTTATGCATGTTTGTAAATTATCAAAAACATCTGAAACATTTGTATTTTGTGATATGAGAACTGAAATAAATCAAATGTAGTTCTCAACTGGCTCGGGAAAGCATTCCAAGAGGGATGTCCTCTGTTCGCTTCCTTACCCTTTTAGTTCATCAGCCAAGCACATGCCAAACTGTTTGGTACCAGTTTCCATGCATCTTCTTATCATTAGCCGATAACGTGGCTCAAAGACATGAAGTGGACAAGGGATGGTAGGAAAGGCCATAGTACACACAAAGATTGGAACATCTTTATTCAAACTGCAAAATACAATGTATAAGAAAACCCTGTCAGTCTCCTTTTAGGTAATGCCTTTAGTAAGCACAAGTCTAAGTCAAGACTTCATCTGAGAGGCTGTCTCAGACTCGCTGTAAAACAGAATCTGGCAGTAGCCAGCACCAATATTCTGCCACTTTTACAAAATGCTAAAACTTCTAGGACTTTCCCTGTTATTCATGTACTCTGGGCACAATGTCTTTATTCTGTTTTAAGAAAAAAAACACACGCAAAACATGCTCTCAAGTGTGTGCACAGGCAAATGTGTATAATTTGTGCAGAAGTAACAGATGTACATCTTTTAGCTGAGAGTTTCCCTAGAATATACTACTATATACCAAGCGTGTCTAACATACGATATCAAGCCTACAGAGATTGGTCATCCAACTCACTTTCTTCCCCAGGGGCCTACTCTTAAGGTTTGTACCTGCTCAGCCTCACACTGCTGTATGAGGAAGTGCTGGCATGACACCTACTGCAGCTTCTGCCTGATTCAGCATTTACCATTGCCAATGGCATGGGAATCAAGATACTCCAGGACAGAGGCAAACAACATGAAATACACTAGGGGCCCTGAATACAAATAAACCTGTTGGTTGCTTGTCATGCCAACACCACCTTCTGCAATGATGGCTCTGGCCACAGTGGCAGGGCTTCTTGCCACAGCTGCCTAAGTCCCTACAACAGCTGGATCTTTGACAGCCAAAGCAGCACTTGCAGTTGGAACAGGTGTGGCTTGCAGGCACATTCAAGGCAGGAAATATGGCCAACAACTAATTTGAACTGGACATCCCTGTTGTATGATATATCTATACCTATACACATACTCTTTGAAATGTAAGGTCTACTTCGGGTTTTGGTTTGGTTTGGCAACCATCGATCCCTTCAGATCGTGGTGTATGCATGAGAGGTCACCCAGTCCTTTGACGCACATGCCTAGGGAGGAGTAGAGGTTACCCAGATCTTCCATCCCCCATTTAGACCATTGAGACAGAATCCATAGGCCAGACTGAGTCCAGACGTTTGGTGCCTCCATAGCTGTAGTTGTATAAGCATCCAGGAATTGAACCCAGGTCTTCTGTGTGGCAGACAAGTATTCTACCACTGAACCATGGGCGGACTCCAGGGAGGGTTTTTAGGATTACAGTTAAGACAGGAACTAAAGGAAACTAAAAAGTTAGTTTTAGGAAACTACAGAAGCTTAACATGCATTTCAAATTACTCTTCAACTTTTGCTGTAACCTTTTTTATTTGGTTGTATAGCAAGTAAAGACCATCACTGATAGAACATCCAGTATTGCTATTTACAGTGAACCTCCAAAGCACATAAGCTTACCACTTACTTATTTTTCTTCCACTTCCAAATCTGTAATGTCCTTGTTTTGGAAAATAGCTTCAATTACTGTTGCGTATATATCTTCCATCCAATCCTAGCCTCTCCCCTGCTTCATATAAGTCAGCAAGAGATTTAGTGAACCCACGTCACCTTTCATAAAAATGGAAGTCTTTTGCAGTGTAAAGATTAGGAAGCATTGTAAAAAATAACATTTTATAATAGAAAAATTGTAAGAATAAAACTACCTACTTTGATAATTCCTTCATTTCTTCTTCATAAATTTTCTTCCTTTCAGACAATTCCTCAGGCAAGTAACGAACTATAAGTTCTTCTGTAAGGACAGTCTTTTTATAAGTTCTGCTTGCCAAAAACTACAAAGGAGAATTAAACTAAGCATGGCAATTAAAAAAAATATCAGTTATATCTATTTCCCATTCCAAATGTCAACCTAACAGAATAGTTCAGATCTCATACTAAGCCTTTTTTTTCCTGTTCCTTTAAACATTTAAGACTCATTTTGAAATATACCATTCCTTTTACTGTCCATTAATCCTGAAACAATATATTTATTATGGACTGTAAAACATGCAAGAAAAAGCGAATGTTGTCTATTTGGTGCAAAGTATCCAAGGAGATATGAAGTGATTGCCACCTGAGAAGTCTAACTATTATATTTCCCTCCAGCAGAGCATATATTCTCCACAAAAAATGGTGAAAGTTGCAGAGAATTCCCTATTTGCTATCTTTGTGCCAAAACAGATACTTGCAATTATGGCACTGCAGAGTCACCATCTTTGATTAGGACTGCTCAGCCAAAGAAGCGAAAACACCTTATTTCAAAAGTGAGAAGGTTATAGTAAAAGCACATCCCATCCTCATCTTCTGAATCAGTTTAAGTACGTAATAGTGAAAATATTCAATGTGTACGTCAACAATGAGGCACAGCATGACAATACTATACTCCCCTTTACAATGCTCTGTTGTATGTAAAGAAAAACGTTTTGGTTAATAGTAGGGGCTTCCATAAACCACTGCTTTAAACATTTTAATGCAAGAGAGTACACTTACTTCTGATAGCTTTTCTTTGCAAAGTGGACAATAAGGGTTATGATCAAGGCAACGCTCGAGGCATTTGAGACAGAATGTATGTCCACAAGGAGTGGTTACAGGCTCATAGAATAACCTGAACAAGGTCGATGGCAAGACACAAAAATGTGTAAATTATTCCAATAAACAAGCAATCTAGATATTAAAAGAAGATAAAAATAAGTTACTAAACTTGACATAAGATTGACACAGAAGGGAAAGTGACATTTCTATTCACTACTCAATTACTATAAAATAAGCTTTGATTTCTAAAATAAATCCATTACATCAACACATTAGAAAGACAAATTCAACCACTCTAATCTGCAAAGCTGAGATGCTAAACTCAGCCAAAGTACATGAAACAAAAATGTGTTGGGCTCATTTCAAACCAAGCAATCTTTGCCTATCCTATCAACAGAATCAGATATATGCAGTCATACCTCATACAGAGGGAACATTCAAAGTCAGATGCTTCCACAAGGACTGCTGGTACACCACTTGATGCAGTGGCAATGGAGCTTTCAGGTAAAACAGGGTCATCTAAAAAGTTTTTTAAAATTATATACAATAAACATTCAAGTAAATAGTATTCTGAAACCAGAATAGTGATTCCATACTGATTTTTCATTAGTAACTCTTTATATCTGCTCTCTACTAATTCCCCTATTTCCCCCAAAAGCCTGCTTTTCCATCTCGACTTTTAAATGACATTTTTTTTGTTTCATAAGGTTAGTTTTAGAAAACTACAGATTTGTTTTTCATCTCTTCCACGTGCCCACAGCCAGGCCATTAGGCATAAATCCAGAGGTTGAACTGCTTACATACATATGAACGTTTGGGAACTTTTGTTTCAGCAATGTTTATAGATTTCTCAATGAGAGTACATAACTTTCAAGCATGAAAAAGAGTTTATAAACCTCTTGCATGGCCTGCTGTGTTAGTAAATTGTTATATAAATTTCTAAGTTTTAAGAATATTAAACACTTCAGGCATGACCTACAGCATGCAATTCTAGCTAAGATGGTCAGGCTGAGAGTTTAAGGAATCCTGGCAACAGGTCAGCTGGACCCACAGATCATACTTAAGTCACCCTAAATAGTCTGTGGATATGGGAGACAATTCTTGAGAAAAGCATAAATGCCTCAAAAACAGATTGGACAATGTCTTGACTCCCAGTTTTTAGCTTTTCTAAACACCAGCCCCTTACCCTCTTCTGGAAAAACCAAATAGGTGAGATATGAAAAGCTAAATATTTGTTAAAACAAAAAGAACTTTTGTTACAGGATAATTTGTCATGAGTCTTCTGCAACCTTTACTTGATATAAACCAAACAGAGTGGGTAGTATCACTGTTTTGTGGTCTATAAATTAACTGTAATCACAGAAAACACCTTCTCGACCCTATATTTTGAGTGCTAGGTCTCTAAACAATAGCAGGAGCCTAAATTTGCTGCTCAGCAAAAAATTACATGGGGTCAGGGTCTCATGTGAAAGAAATTAATGGTTAAGTGTGAAATGTGATCTCTGGCCCTTAGGTTGAAAGTAGAGAAGGATCAGATTTCCCCACTCTGTTTACTGCCTGGGCTTGCAGTTCACAAGCTACTGTCAAAGAGTTCTCTCTCTAACAGGAGAGAGAACTCTGCAGAGCAGAGTGGCAAGGTAGGGAAATTGAGCTATTGGTTGAACATTTCTGGAAGACACTGGCATTTACTGTGTTAATTCTGAGGCAGAAGTCATATTTACCAAGTGTGGAAGGAAAAAAAAAAAAAGTATTATGGGATTTCAGGGACTCCCATTAACCAGTTATTACAATACAAGACAGTATTACAAAACAGTTATTACAATACAAGACAGTACAATACTGCCTTCAGCATTTTTTCACAACACCACATTCTTTAGAAGTCTTTGTTTTTGAAAATCATACCAAGTGCTTGCATAGCTATCAAAATGCCAGAAAGGGTGGGACTGTTCTCTTTAAATAGGATCTTTGTTTTCTTGGGAAAATAGTTTCGTACAACTGCTTTTGGATGCAGATTAGTTTCCTTGTTTATTTCATTTAGACAGATACTAAAGGTTATTTGTACCTCAGAGGCAAAATAAATGTACCACTGTCACCTGCAGTACAATTCATAAGCCATTGGTGGTATAAACATTAAAAGTGTTCTATTGGAGATGAAAATAAAAGTTCACTGAATGAATCAATATTGGTCTTGAAGAACATCCAAACATTAATAATGTTTGAACAACGAAAGGCTTTAATAGCCTTCAGCTCCATTTGTTGGGGGGGAAAAACAAGAATAACAAGCTATCTAAAGTTCTTCTGTAGATTTCCTTACCGACTCAGGCATTTAAAGCCCGTGAATATGTACTGTATCACCAGAGAGTATTTAATCTACAAATAAAATACTAGTTCTTTTTACATGATAGAAGTGCTGAAGAACCCCCCATTAAGCTACAAGACGGACCTTTTTTAGTAATCTTGTTAGGAACATCCAAACTTTGCAAATCCTTCAAATCACTGGACAGTTTTCTTTTTAAATTATCCCCAGGTAAGCTGGAGAGAATTGCTCCCAAGGACTTCTTATCGTCTTCACAATACAGATCCAGGACAGGATGTGAGGCAGACGAATCAGTGCTTCGAAGGAAGTCAGACTCCTGGGACGGTGTTTTTAACCTGAATACAGTATCCTAAACCAAAATACAAGCTAGAGTCAGGCAGAAGCTTCTCCGACTACTTCTCTGCGTTAATTTTTCCAATGATCATTTCCATACTAAAGGAAAGATGGCAATGCTGTGGTAGCAACCAATCTAGGCCAAACCTACATACTCAAATGGTTGAAAAGTTATAGGATTATTCATTTCATCCTAGTTCTTTTTCTTTTCCAACAGAACCCACCCCACCCTCATCTCATGCACTCTCACAGTGCATGGACTACAACACAAAAACACCAGATTTTCATTGCAAGAGATATTATCCTTTTCCTATATTCCCCATTTTATTTGTTTCCCCTCAGAGAAGGAGCAAATCTAAATGGAATTCATATCTCACCCTCTACCTCCCCTCCGCCCTCCCGGTTCATCTTCATGTCATCTCAGAGAGTTAGAAAGGAAAGGTAAATTTGCAATTACTATGTTTGTATGTCATGCTAATATTTAAGTACATGCAATGACCGTTCACGTCAGGTAAATCAGACAAACATTACACATTTTCACGCATTAGTTTGGGATTTATGTCAAATATTTTATTCTTTACCTTTGAACACCCAGCACTAGAGCCATCCTCAACAGTAGCTTGTGCGTTTATGCTGCTTAAAAATACAGGTTTCAACCTTGTAATGGATGGCCGATTGCAAAAAGGTGCTGCGAGGCTATCATGCACATTTTCAAAGGCTGGGAAGAACATCTCACACATTATCTAATCAATTAAAAGAAAAAGAATTGAAAGATAAGCCTATTTCAATAACTGTGTTGCTTAGGGCACTGAATTCCTTTATCTTCTACAGGCTAATAACCTAGCACCCACCTACCATTCTTCTATAAGCAAACTCCTTACATACCAGTTTCCTATGCTCCTTTATTTCACAGGAATTTCTTTCCCTCAGCTCCCCAGCGTGCCAAAGGGTCTGTAGGTCTCCAGTGCTTTCCTGGGCAGAGTTTGTTTCCTTATTCCTCATCTTCACTCCATGACCCTTTATCCCTTGCAATCATTCTACTATTCCCACATTCAGCAGCAGCTCCATTTTTCCAAACTTCAAGCAGGTTACTTCCTCTTTAAAATCAAGTCCACCTCCCTTCCCCTTCACCAAAAATTTCAGTCCCTTTGTCACCCTCCTATCAGCTGCCTGTTTACATACTACCCTGTCCCATCACTTACCCTCCCTCCAACATCCTCTTCCCTATTCCTAAAACCCTCATTGTGAAAGTCTTTCCTCTAGAAGCCAAACTAAACTGGCCACAGGTTCCCAAATAAGTAAAGCTGATGCTTCACATATGCAGAGAGTACAGGAAGAAAGGATTCCTTTGCCTGCAGCACAAGCCTCAGTACATATTGCTGCCTTCCTAAAAATTTCTTCTGCGACTGGGCGTTTGGTGCTGGGCATATCACAAGAAATTAGAGGTTGTACCCACAAAGGACCAACTTATTTCTTGAATTTGGAGATATAGTGCAAGTTGTAGTTTCTTCTGTGACTCAGCACTGCACAATGTGGTGCAGGGAAGTTTTAGCTGATAGTTTACTAAATGAATGGCTGGTTGGAATGTGGAAGTTTTCTTTGTGAAAAGAACCTTCCTTAACAGTGGAGTACAAGGGGGACAAAAAAGTACATTTTTTCATATGCAGACTACAAAGCAACTGTACCTTTTGAGCTTCTTTCTTCATTGAGTTCCATTCAGGATTTAAGGCAACACAATAAAGGAACTCCTTCAATGCTTCCTCAGTCCTCCCCAATCCATAAAGAGCTTTTGCTTTCACATAATGACCCTGTTCATGCAAAGAATGTGTCTTAAGTTTCATATTTTTCAAAGAAGCAAACTGCAACAAGAAACCAACAAACAGTGTTAAATTTCCTGAAAACTCATCTCATTTGGCAGGTAAAGAGAAGCCAGAATTGTAGATGAAGATTGTGTGTAAAGTTTCCCTTATCTACTCAATCTGCACTGCCTGTTATCAAAAAAACAAACACTACCTGTTTCAAAGCTACCTGTTTAACTTCCACAATTTCTCTTCCCTTATTCTACTAGTGTCTTACTTTTTCGTTTCACCAACCCCAAAAAAGTTCTTTAAACAAATGGAAAGAGAGCATCTTCCAGGTTTTCTTGATTTTCCTCTTGCTTTCATTCCCTCAAAAAAAGTTATTCAGCTAATATAAGAGGGCTGGGGGCATCAGCCTCTTTGCCCATCAATGCTACTCCACTTTTTGGTCACAGGATAAATTTAGAGAATGGGGTATCCTAGATCTCCCATGGGGCCCAAGTAACAAGAGACTGAATTATTTCACATACCAACACGATTTTAGCAGCAGTGAAACTGCATGGAAAAAGTAGTGGGGTGGGGTAGATTGAAGGAGCAGAAGATTCCAGATATAGGACATTCTCACTTCAGCTGGGAGTCTTGCCAGGACAGAGTTGGTTTGTCACTTATTTTGGTTGGCTGAATGAGAGACCAGCATATCATAATTTTAGGAAAATTAATCTACGCTTACCTGAAATTTCCTTTCTTCAGGTACTAATGTCCATGGGCCTGTTATAACAACTACTTCAACCAGCTTGCAGTTTGGGGGCAGAACCAGACTTATCAGTCATTGGCAGCTAGGGGCTATTCCATCTTCTGAAAAGTTCCCATCAGCTAAGAATTTCCCACAGCCAGAATAATTCAAATCTCCTTTCATAAACTGCAAATTGTTTTCCCTTAGAACATAGTTAACACAATCTCCTATGGCAAATCATGCTGAATTTGAACCAGATAACCCAAATCCTCATATAGCAATTTTCACCAGTGTTCATCATCAACATTAGATTTGTAACCTTATTACTTAAAGATAGGAGGCTTTAAAATGAGTGTGGAATGATTGTATTCATCTTCATGCTAAGGTGTACAGATGTTACCATGAAATTTCCACAGCTGGACACCTTCAAGGAGACAAGCAGAATCATTCTTCAAATGTGGACATCTAAAATACATCATATTGTATATAATAGTACTTAATGGAAGACTGAGTAAATAAGGCTCCTTGAGATCCTTTCAAGGGTGATGCTGGCTGCCACACAATGTTAGCACTATTAAGTGTGCAAACATGCATCACAAAATGAAAGCAGAGATTTAAAATAGAAATCCAGCGTTAAAAACCATTTTGACCTATCATAGTTTTACTGAGTTTTCTGCAATAAAAAAAGACTGCTTTATTTTCTGTAGTCCAAAAATGAGTAAAAACTAAGAGCTGTTATTTCCCAATGGGTGCCTTGAGCCCAAAGAGGCTGAGTACCACTATACAAAGGCGTGGAGAAGACCTCTGCCAAAAGAAAGAAAAAAGGACATTGGCTAAGACTAGATAACCCAATACATGGAATCAGGTGTTCTAAAAAGCCATCTAGTAAAACTCAATGCTATCCGGGTATTACTAGAAAATTTCCCATGTGCAAATAGTCATCGAGACTAGAGTGTGTAGATACTGGAAAGGGTACTCTAAGGCTAAGTTGTAGAACTATTCAGGTAGGAGTTCAATCTGGGTAGTAAAGCAAGAAGCAGAATAAGGCTCTAAAATGTTGTCCTTATTAAGGCATCAATATTTTGGGAAAGCTATTAACATTGTGATTTTCAAGAGAGACCCCAAACATGACAAGAAAAATATACTAACATGACTGCACCTTTTTTTACAGACACTTATATTGCCCATAGCAAAAACTGTTCCAGAAACCTCAACACTATTTATTTTACTAGTTTGATGTGGTAGTCAAGATTACAGGCGTTGCAACCAAGGAGACATAGTTTTGTTAGCTTTTTTTCTGGGGTCCAGAAAAGACACTTTATTCAGGTATTCATTTTAAACCCTTCTAGTCCTGGCTGGAGGACTAGTTTTGTGAGATGGTTAATCAGAAGATCTAATACTAGACAAAATCAGGCCTGACAGCCATATCCTCTACAGGTAGGTATGACCAGTATCACTGCTGCTCTCGACCTGGCACTGTTCTGGAGACCAATGTGAATAAGACTGGAAGACCTAACAAAGATTTTGCCAAAATTTGGAGAACAGGTTGTGGCACAGTCTCACACACAAATGCTGCAAGTATTATTTAGCATTTTCTATGCACTGTTCAACAAATGAGATTTCTGGATATAGGAGTTGGTCTGGCAAATCCAACTTCTGTCATGCAAGTCAGGGTTCCTGTCTCTTGGTGGTCACTGAACATGGAAGTAGGAACCTTTTCCATAAATCAAGACATGAGAATTTCTCTCTCTCTAAGATGTGGGTTTTTTGTATCATAAAAATCCTTTCCTGATAAGCTGATTCTCCCAACCAGAAAAGGTCTCTTTTCCATAGTAGGATTGCTCAGGCACTTAAGTAAATCATTACAGTATCACTGGTGAATGCTGTACTTTTCCTGAGGCAGACAAGGTTCCTTGGGTACTTTTCCTGATACATGTTTCCTGAAAGATGGATACCTTTAGAAGAAAGAATTCTATGCTGACCACACACAGGAACAGAAAATATACAACTCTGCCACTGGATCACAAAAAATTCTTTCATTAAAGACAGTGAGATGCAAATGGCATACCTAGGATCACTTTATAACCATCATATGAACTCTGCATCGATGAAATACACATGATATAGCAGCCGGCTCCAAAAAGAACTGGATCTTTAGTTTGTAACACTATGGAAAACAAGTGGTGTGAATCTTCATTTTCTGTTAATATTCTTCCAAGATGAGACTACAGGAAACAGTATGATCTATTTCCCTAGCACTAGCATCTGCTTGCCCAAAATCCAAGATGCTCTAGGACTCAAGTCACTGTATTTATTTAAAACTCTCTCTCTGTACAAAACTGAGACCAGAAAAAAATATCCAAGAAAAAGAAATGAATTTCTTACTTCAGTGGAGGCAGGGCTGTTGTTCTCATGATTTGAAGAGAGGTCCTGAAAGGATATGCAAGATTAAGTGGTAGTGACTAAAATTTAGTCTACTAAAGAAACAACTATCCATCTTCAAAATTCAAGAGTTTTTTTGAGGACAGCAAAATGAGAATGTCCTGAAAGCAAGACTCAAATAGGAACTTCTCTCTCAGGCTACAAACAGGACAGGGAGTGGACTGCAATGATCCATTCTACTGTGAATTAATTCTCCTGCTCTCTATATGCGACCTTTCCATGGGCTGCCAAACTTGAAATGTCAAAAAGCTTTCCCTGAAATTACTACACAAATCCTTAGGTTTTCCCACTCTGGGCAATGTCCAGTGACCTCACTTGATCAAATGTGTAAGTACTTACAAAGTAAGAGAAACCGCCATCAACTGGGGGATTTAACTTTAGGTAGAACTGGCTGCGCACTCAGAAAGAAGCTTTGAGGCAACACAGGGAGCTACTGCCCCAGCACATATTCTCTTATTGCTTCCAAAGAGGTGTTGTACTACTTCCACTGTACTTCAGGCTGCTTCAGGTTGCCATGGTATATATCAGTGGAGCACAACCTTTTAGAGCAGCAGACTAGGTGCCTTGCAACCTGACTGCACTGCAGACTATCACTCCCCTCTAGTAGGAGATAGTGGGAAGGGAAGTAGGGATATTTTAAAAATTACTTGTTTAACCTTCTCTAAGTACATCATTTAAATGGTTAACCAATAACACAGTACCTCAGATAAAGCTGCTGCTAGGAGCCGCTCCAGGGGCCCTTTGACGGGGTGGAGGAGGTGGTGACAAGCCCAGCCAGACAACACAGGCCATGTGAAACCCTGCACTGGGAGGGAATGAGCAGGTACCTGTGAACCAGCAGCTAACTGCTTAATTGATAAGTCATTAGGCCACCCACTGTTTTCATCTTTAACCTCATATGGATACTATTGGTTACTGCTAGTCAACTGCTGTGGGTACTACAGGTTACTAGTTAAATCGCTATGGATACTAGTCTCTCTCACCACTTACTCTTGCGTACCCTGTCACCTACCAGTTCCTGCTAGGGCACTGTGTGGGCTTCCCTTCCCCCACTTCCCTACCAAACTGTGCCCTGCCCCTCACTAAACAAAACCGATAAGCTAGATAAGTTAACCAGGTATCGTATCACTGCAAATATCGGTTAAACGCTTTTTACATCCCTAGAGGGAAGTGGCTATGTCAGAGGGAAGGGAGGGAGAGAAGAGAATTTACTTCTGGCTGCAGATGGAGGTCAGTGGCACAGTGCAGGACAGGGAAAGGGACATGTAGTGCCAAGTTCCTTGCCACTGTTCCCTTTTGCCGCAAGCCAGATCCAGTCACTTTGGATGCTAATCTGGCCTTGGGTTGAGCACCACTCATCTATATTCCTTTCTAAAGAATCTTATTTCCACAGAAGTAAAATGTAGCCATATGATATATCTAGGAACTAGATAACCACATCATTAAACCACATTGCTAATATACAGATTTAAAATTAAGTTTGGAATTCTCAGAAGAAGCAGCTTTGCAGCAGGGAAGGCTGGCTGAAATCCTGTAGGAGTCAGAGGAAATTTCCACAAGTAGGATATCCCCCTGATATCAGTAGCTGAACAGGCCTGGTTCTGCCCCTAGAACTCCTTTTTTTTTTTTTTTTTTTTTAAAACAGAATCATAGACATTAGTACAAAAAAAGGCCAATAACAATATACACCACAGACATTTTTATGCATTAGTACAGATATAGGATTCATCCATGCTTGTTTTAGGCATAATTGAAGCTTTTATTAGAAGTTTCTACCCCTGGGGGTTAGCAAAATCTCCTTCCATAAACTAGTTTGCAAAGCTCTGGGCTTACCACATGAAAAAACCCTGAAGTTTGATAAGAAGCATTACTTTTGTTCTATGCAGCATGCAAGGGTTGTACCTTTGGCCAGAGAGGTTTGTTTCGGCAGACTACATCTGCATCATGGAGAGCTTGCTGGTAGTTTTGCATTGATGTATACAGTTCTGATCGCTGGGCTATTAACGAACATTTGCAGGGAGCTGGAAAATAAAAATGATATTAAGAATTCCGGTGTATGGATACCTAACGTGTATTAGATAGAAATAATCTAACATAATTTAAACCCAAATAGGTCAAAAATCTTTGAAACAACAAAATCTGATGCATGTCCTTACCTATTTGAATAAACAATAAATAAATAAATAAATAAATAAATAAAGCATAGTGTTGATGTGGCCAACTTATTTTTATTTTAAAAGTTCTGAATGTTTCTTGAGATTATGAATACATAGCAAATAACATCCACCTGCTGCACTTATCTGTTCTATATTTTGATTACAAGTTTTATTTTGTTCAAGTGGTTTCATCTGAAGTGCATATCCCACTTACAGGACATTATAGATAAGTGTGGGGAAAAGAAAATCAAATAAGCAACACTGTGGGATTTAAATGTCAAGATGAAAGCAGCAAGTAACCTGATGTCCAATTCACTGCCTAATGTCATAATTCACTATGAAAGCATGCAGGTAAGACATCCCAAGCTTTATGCCCATTTGCCAATGTATCCTTGCCATCCTATGTACTTCCCCATGACCAGTACATAGTCTGCGATGAACAGGATTTTAGCCAGTTGGCCTCCAAAGCCTTGTATATTTCTATGACTACTCATTTACAAACCCTTGAAATACACCATTATAAATATTTTCAATACCATAATCAGCCTGGGCTCTGCTGCTGCTTAGTGAAACCAACATTCCCATGTTTTACCAAACAGTGGAGTTGTCAGGACTTCTGGATTCAGAAAGCCAGCTCTAGAGCAACATGTGAGGACACCCCAGCCCTTCAGAGCCCCCATTATATCCAAAGCTCTCAGGATTGTCGGTTTCCCATCAGCAAGACCAGCAGCCCTGCACAGCTTCGGAAGATAACCAGAAGCAATTCCCCAGAGGTCTGCTGGTATCCTGCTTACACTTGAAGGAACAGCATTAACTTGTTCAAGAGCAAGTGCATTGTGCTTGCTTAATTTGTTACTGATTTAAGTTTCAAAATCTCTCAGTGTCCTAGCAGGGATAACGAAACAAACCAGGTAAGGCTCTAATTGGATCTAATTTGTACATTTTGCAGATAGAGGTCTGCCATTTGTATGTGTCATGTGCAATTAGAATTTTCAATGACTGCCAATAATTGCTACAGTGTTTTGGGTTTTGGGGTGGGTTTTTTTGGGTTTTTTTTTTTAGATATTACATATTACCCAAGCCCTGGATTACACAGAAACTCTGGGTTTCCATAATCCCTTAGGTTTTTTTTTTTGTCTGCCACTTTTTGATGAAGCCACCTAATCATTCAAACCATATTCCCAACACATGAATGCAACTGAAATAATATCGGTAACTCACAAGGTCAAATCTCTTAGGCACTGGATATTTAAATTCCACACAAGTCAAGAGACTATTAAGTGAGTTAATTTAAAGAAAAAGCCATTAGCAGTGACCTAAATTAATTTACTGTTACATACTGAGTTCTGAGCAAAACCCAATATGAAATTCAAAGCTTTTCATGGATTTAATATTTTCTCATGTATTTTATTAACTCTCCACATAAAGCTAAAAGCCCAGCTACAGCTGGTCAAACTGACAGACCTAATTCCTTTGCTTGCCACTAAAGTTGAATGTAGAAAAGGTTAAAAAATGAATAATAATTACAAAAGATGATGGATTTTTACAAATAGATGCTTATTAAGACTTGCTAAAAGCAGCAAGTAGAAGTGGGCCAGTTACAGGACTACAACTTTTGACTACATGCCAGAGATGCTAAAATTTAGTTGCTGTTGTCTAGACCACAAGAAACTGTTTTTATTGCTGTATTGAGCATCACAAGACTACTTTCACCCTACATATAAAAAAGAAAAAGTTAAAGGGTTTTTTTGTACTCCTATACCTGTCTCAAGCTTAAAATGACATGTAGAAGAGTATGAATAGGTTTCACAACTTGCTATATGAGTTCCAAGGTAGGAAATTGGCTCTAGAAGGTAAACTTTAAGCAGACTATTGCAGGAATTGAGCTCAGTTCTTCCAGTGTTATTTATCATAGCAGCATTTTTTGCCATACCCAATTTTATATCACAATTGCATTTTCCCCTGTATCTCTTGTGTCTGCTCCATTTTTTTCCTCCTGGCAAAAAGCTGAAAAGAACTTTTAACTAATGTGCTTCTAGTATAAAATATGTTGAGGGGAAGGGGGACAGCATTCTGCAGTAAAGATCTGAGGAATCAAAGAAGTTTCATTTTTGCTTGCTGAAGTTCTGGAGCCTGCCATATAAATATATCAACCGATCCTTCCCTCTCCTCCAAACTCCACACCCAACAGCTAAATTTGTATTTAGAAGCTCCTCCTTTCAAACAAGTAGTTTTTAATTATGCATGCTAAGTAAATTATGTTTAAGCTTTTTGTTGGGCTGATCGACACAGTAGGCATTTATACATGTACCTTTTCATCCCGTGATAAGCTGGAGAACCACCACTTCAGAGCAGACTCAATTAATTGAAACTGTTTCACATGCGCGTGGATGCACACCATGCTGCACCGCATGCAGTTGTATAAGTGGTGAAATGCGCATCAGTGCGCAGAAAATGGTCGCGGTGTGCTTTTGAACTAAAGCACCTTCTATGCATTTTAGTTCAAAAGCGTGTCACTGCCATTTTCTCAGCAGCATTTTACCACTTATCCAACTGCAAGCAATGCAGCTCTGGCCGCTTTTAAAAGAGTGGCTAGCACTGCGACGCTTACATGTGTAAAAATGCCCAGTCTTATGTTGTTTGTATTGTCCTGGCTCCTACGAGCCTTAGTTAGGGACCAGAAATTAATTGTACTAGGCTGTGTACAAATGTAGTTCCCACTCCAACAAATTTACAGTTGAATGAAATACATAATAGCAAGTACCAAAATTCTCCTCTTCTCCCACACTGTTTTTGGAAGGCCCTCCATTCCAACAACCCTTTCTGCTCAGTTATAGATGAAACTCCCAGTAAATATCACATCCTCATTTATTAACAGGATTCCTGTTTTGATTTCTTTATTACTTTTTCTGTATGATGGATAAGACAGATATTTAGTGTACCCATATTTCGATAGCTCTAAAACACTCTCTCATTTCCATTTGCAAGAATAATCTTACTTGGTTTTGTGCCAACCAGAAAATATTTTTTAAAATTGGCTCTAGCAGAAGTTTGGCTTGATTGTGGGGTATAAAATGTTCCTACTCCATATGAATTATCAAAAGAATGTTTAATTTAACATACTGTGCTTTAGGAACTGCAAAAATAAGAACAAAAGGTACTTGTCATCAAATGACACATACTCAGACTTGTGAGATTCTTCAGAGAACAAAACATATTATGATTGTAAGTGAGGGTTTAATCAAATGACACATCTTGGTAGCATGTGCTACAAATGTGTGATTCCTTCTTCAGACAGGGTTTGGGCTAAAAAGAAAGTCCACACCTGCCTTTAGAAAGTGTCATATCAGATTTGCTTAAAACTTGTCTCTCAGACCTGCTCTTGTATAGTTCTTGCATGCATACAGAGAAAATAATGATGGGAATTAAGGCTACCTAGGGACTGTCTCAGCAGTCGTGAGGCAGGAGTTTTTTGCATTTCTTACAGATTGTTAATTGCTAATTTTGTTTATTTTTCAAATAGTTAATTTGATGTGTGCACAAATTAGAAAAATAAACAATTTATCACACCTGCTAAAAGCATTACATTTATTTATTACACCTGCTAAAAGTATTACATATTTTCTGTATTAAAAACACCAAAGATGTTTCAAGTACTTTAGAGGAGGAGCTCATCTCTTCTACCTGTAAACAGCTCCAGTTTACAATGCTTATTTACGAGGGGATCTGGAAAAATAAAACAACACTTACTTGAAGTCCTCCCGAAGTTCAGGACTATGCCGGATTGCTGGAACCTGACCTCAGTGAAACATGTTTACCCAGAAGAGTAGACAGAAGTGTTGTATTTACTCAAATACAAGACAATCCTGATTACAAGACAACCCCCCACAGTAATTAGATTTTATATGTGGAAAATTTATAATATTTAGGGCTGCACCAACATATCGGTTGGCTATTGGATCAGCACTGATAAATGAGAAATGATGTTATCAGCTATCAGCTTTTTTGGGTCATTGTAATGGATAATTATGGCCCATGTCCAGAGTACCCTGGTGAGCATAGTCTAGCCCCCGTGCCCCACCACTGGCCCGAAACCGCGACAAACTACAGGTCCTGATGAACAGTGATAAGAAGAGGGGACGCTGGGAAGTGGTCATAGTGCACCGCATTTAACAACCATTACCAGATCCTGCTGCTGCTGTTTCCGCCACTGCCATGGCAATGTCGTGCACACAGCAGGGACCTGGGCAATGGGGTTGCCACCGAGACGTTGGGCTGCACACGGGTATGGTAAAGCGCCATGCAAGGGACATTCCGTTCCCTGGGCACCAGGCACCTTTGCAAAAGCAGATTCTCCCCAGCAGCCACAGGAGCTTAGCTATGTAGAGCCTGCCAGCACTGAGGCTCCAAACATGCCCGGCACCACTGTCTGCATGAGGGTCTGCCCCACCCATCCGAGACAGCAGCACAGATTGCCTGGGGAGCGGGACTGCAGGTAGGAGTCATGGGTGAGGAGGCAACGTGTGGGAATAAGGCGGTCACCACCTTCTTCCTAGAGGGTCACAGGAGGCACGTGTGTTACAAATGCAAAAACAACAGCAACAAAACGTTAATGTAGTAGTTTAAAATGCCTTGCGCTATTACTAAATATTGGTTATCGGATCAGCATCGGCCAACATGGTTGGTGAATCACTGGCTATCAGTATTAGCCAAGAAAATCTTTATCAGTGCACCCCTAATAAAATGTGTTATAATTTCAAGGTATGCAGGCAGGGGTTGCTGGAAAATGGAGTCCAGCTGCCAGACAGATCCACCATTTTTCCTACCCCTGCTGTAGAGCATAAAGAGGTATGCGCACAGCTTTT